TGCAATGGACGGTTTATAAGATGCAATGTGTTGATTTACATGAACTTGGATGTCAATCGCCAAAATGAAAATCAAAGAAAAGTATAGACTTGTAAAAAAAAAATTAAAAAATTTCCAAAGCTAACGTACTTCGACAAAAGTTGTATATCATCCTTGAACTTGAGTCATTGGGAACCAGTAACCCTTGAACTTATTATCTGTGTAACTTTAAGTTTATTGTGTACCTTTTTTGACTTTACTGTGTACTTCAGAGTTTACTGTGTTAGTGTGTACTTCAGAGTTTACTGTGTTAGTGTGTACTTCAGAGTTTACTGTGTTAGTGTGTACTTCTGAGTTTACTGTGTTAGTGTGTACTTCTGAGTTTACTTTGTACCTTTGAATTTACTGTTTACCTTTGAATGTACTGTGTACTTCTGAGTTTACTGTGTACTTCTGAGTTTACTGTGTACCTTTGAGTTTACTGTGTACTTCTGAGTTTACTGTGTACCTTTGAGTTTACTGTGTACCTTTGAGTTTACTGTGTACTTCTGAGTTTACTGTGTACCTTTGAGTTTACTGTGTACCTCTGAGTTTACTGTGTACCTCTGAGTTTACTGTGTACCTCTGAGTTTACTGCATACCTTTCAGTTTACTGTGTACCTAGAATTTCTTAAACTAATGTTCGATTTACGACAGACTCTTTCTCCCCATAGGAGGAGCCATGGCAAATATTCATTTATATAAAGGGCAGGAAACATCAGAACGCCTGACCAGAGGCGTAGCAAAGGGGGGGGTGTCAGATGTCACCGGGCGCCAGCTAGTCAGGGGCGCCAAAATATGATTTGATATTATTTTATTGATGATAGTAATGGGTTTGAGAGTTGAAAAAAAAGAAAAAAGAAAAGGGGGCGCTTAAAAAATGAATCTTGTCTCCCGGGCGCGAATCTTGTCCCCGGGCGCCAAACACTCTAGCTACGCCTCTGCGCCCGACGGTCGTTATCCTTGTCCATGACTTGTAGTTGTAGCGCTATTCGACCCATGCGTAAATGTCAAGATATTCACAAAGTATCTAAGAAAGACATATATTTGCCTCCAGCCATCGGCAACCTCACTGACACTTCTGTCCGCGCCGTCCAAGAGTTCTTCAAACTCAAACCTATTCTCAACTGCTATATACCCATCACATTAGAAAAAAAAATGGAAATTTATAAGTGCGTATGCGATTCGTCCAGTGTTTGGACAAAAGACTTTTGAGTTTTTAATTATATTTGTCAACGCCGCGCGAACATCTGAGGTGGAGGCTTTTCTTACACTTGAAAACTTGACGCAGTGTGTCGAGGTTATGTGGACCGTGACGTCATACGTTGCTTTCTTTTGCCAGCATTTTGGCGATAGTTGACGGCACTTGTTAACGGGGAAAAGTTTAAACAAACACTGAATGTCGCAAAGTTCGATGCTTTCAATAAAAAGTTGGTGGATGCTCATGAACTATTACTGCACTGAATCTTATGTTGGTGCGTTTTTTCCCCCTCTCCAAATATTTGTTTTAGAGCTAAATAAATAATATGAAATATTTCTCCTTGGTGTTAAAGGTTCTGTGCTTCTGTTACGGACCTAAGCAAAAAAAAAAAAAAAATTCTATTGATGGCAAGGTATCAGAAATAGAAATGCTATATCTGGCGAGTCTATTTTAGGTCATTGTCTCATTGCTGCTGTAATGGGAAATCTGTATTTATGAATCTATTTTATGTCGTGTCCGCATCATCTGTGGCGCTACAGCCCATTTAGGGCTTTGGGGCCTGACTCACCACTTCCTTCCACTCAGACCTCACTGATGCTTTTTATTTTCCTTGCTTGGATTCCCAGCTGTTGAAGATCTTTTTTTTCCCCACATCATCCATCCATCCATCTAAGCCTAGGTCTGCCTTTGAGCCATGTTCCTCTGGGGCTTTGGGTGGTGCACCCTCTTCACTCCTCTGTGGTGCACCCTCTTCACTCCTCTGTGGTCCACCCTCTTCACTCCTCTGTCATTTTGGCATTCTTTTTAAGTCTCCCGCCCAGCGTAGTCGCCATTTTTTGGTACTTTCTGCTACTAGCGTGGGATCCTGATATAGACTGTACGATTCCTGGTCGGTTCGTATTCTCAATCCATATTTATTCTTTGTTGGTCCGTATATTTTGATACATGTCATTATGTTATGTTTAAAAATAGATGAAAGTCTTATTTAGATATTATTTATTATTTCTTCGTATGAGATGATGACTGTGAGGCGCGAGGTCAATGCCCACGAGTTCATGAAGCGAGACATGTTTCTGTTTTTTTAATAAAACACATTTCTATCTATGCTAAGCAGGCTCACGATTTCTAAACATAGTCACTTAAGATTGTCCATGATGACTGGTTGCATAGAATAAATGATCCATTCTGAGGACCCCTGCATTGTCTGGTCAAGGGGCCGTCCATAAAGCGGTTGGGGGGGGGGGATGATTTTTTAAAGACTTGTCTTCCAATATGTTTGAATGTGGCAAATTCACTTTGAAGTTGATCTGCGTGCAAGTGAATGTTACATGCTATTACCATCTCCTAGATCAATACCCCCCGGGTATTTTATCAATAGGATCTGTAACTGTATTTTTAAGTAACTGTTTTTTTAAATGTTTTTTTAAAGTTGTTTTTACCATAGAAACGAGATCCTGTGAATATAAGTTAATACAATGGCTTAGCTAGTGGTAAATCTTTCTGCACATATTATTATCTCAATAATTTAAAAAAAAAAAATAAATTAAATTAAAATTTAATTAAAAAAAAAATAGATTTTAAATTCGGTTTCAAATTATGACGCTAGCGAAAATTGAAGTATTTATCACGTAAATCCTTGTTGTAGTTGTCACCGATCTGTATATGATGGGGTTCTTTCATCAAATTCTTTTACACGTCATGACGTCGTTATCACACCGGATTGAACACAATAATCAAAAGTAAGAGAAAAAAAGCACGACCTTTCACCACAAAGTTCTTGCACCGAATGCTCATTGAAAATGCACGAACGTCCAAAAAAAAAAAGACTTTACATATGACGTCACAATGACCATAAAATACGTCACAATGCGTCACAAGCCCTAGGGGCGGGACCAGCATTCATTAACTAAACTACTTGACAAGACACGCCGCGCACACTAAAACTAAAACACGGTATTCGGTGTGCTCCACTTACTAGTGAATACCCATACCCGAGGAGTAGTAATGCTTTGGTGTTTGTCATAAGTAGTAACATGTCGTCATGTTAAAATATGTTTTTTTGATAGATGTGTTCCCGAGATTGTGTAGGGTGGAAGTAACGCACTTCGGGCCATGGGAAACGCCTGGGTCCGGAGATTCGGGTGGTCCAAGGAAAGTGTTTGGGATGTGAAAAGGTTTCATGAGACGGCTCGTGTTTGTGTTTCGTCGGGAAGTCACCGAGACAACGCATGAGCATCATTGGTCAGAAGATGGACGCACCACGGAGACGTTCGGGGCTGCTACTGAAGGGAAGGGTCGATTCACCCCCCCTCCCCCCGGGCCGCTTTCAAAGGTTCTTATGTTGCGAAAGTGACGCCCTGTGAGATTAAAGACCGCCAACTCTGCTGTTTGATTGTATAGTTTAATCCAATTAGATTTTCGTCAAGTTTCACAGGTGGCATTTTCCAACATCGTTTAACTTTAAAAGTTTCAATTAATTAATATTTTTAGCTCTACATTTCAAAGTTCAAGGCATGTGTCCAAACATTTCTACGAGATGACATGGGGACTGTCAGATATGAGTGACGTTAAAGATGTCTAAAGCCTGGTTATGCTGGCTGATGTAATAATATTATAAGCGAAGATTGTATCTCAAACGTTCGTTTACGATAAAAAAAAATAAAAAAATATGATAACAATTATGACAATGGAAAAATTGGAATTAATGCCTGAGGCCAAATCTACAGCATTCCTACAACAAGGTAGACATAGGCGACGCACCGTTTCATTCCCACGTGGGCCCGAAGAGACTCGGTGTAGATAAAACACAGGGGCGTAGGAAGGGGGTGCGCAGGGGTCATACACACAAGTGGCACTTTTTTTTTTTTTTTTTTAAATTTGGGGGAAAAAA